ACGACCATTTACTGACTCTAAAGGGAAGAAAGGACAGTTTTTATCGATTTTTACAAGTGTTTTAAAGTGATCTCATCATTTTGTTTCATCCAAATTGTCTTTATTTAAAAATGACACGCAACATAAATTACCGTATCATTTCTTCTTCTGACGTCATGATTCCAATAATCGTCACGATTAGTTAGGAGCCTTAAACCAGAAAATTATTTTAAAGGAGAGAATTTTCATATTATATAATAGAACTTATTTTACATAGAATTAGCGAGCCAAAATTTTCTCATATAAAAAAATTTTTTTTATTTTCCGAAATTGAGACTAAGTTTTTTATTTCTTATTAAAAACAATTTATATGTAAAACAAATTAAGATTAAAGAAGAATGTATGGGGGAGAGAAATAAACATTATCGCGGTATTTAGTAGCTTATTAGCGCAATAATTTACACTTTGTTATTGTAACAATTGTACGCGACACTTTGAAGTCATTTTCAACGATTAATAGAACTGAGTAGATGAAACTTATTCTGCTAGTACGCTACAAACCCAGATGCAAACCATCATCTTTACACAAGGATATTATCCATTTCAGTTGTTTATCCAGAATGAAACGATCTACGACCTAGTAAAAAGTTAAAAACAAGTTATTATAATAACGGACATTGACATTCAAATTGAAAAATTATGATCAGCACTTAACAGGTTGCCGCAAATTGCATTATATGTATACTAATAAATTATCAGTAACACATTTCTTATCTGATCCAGAGTTTCATCAAAAAAATTTAGAATTGATCGTTGGAATCTTATTGGACAATGACTATCCTCTGGAATTTATATTTAGCACCATTTCAAACAGATTAAAATTTTTGATCTGCAAAGATACTTCCAAAAGAAAAAGAACTTTAATTTTAACAACATAATTCACATAAAAATGATTCACAATTCCATTTATCAATAATATCTCTGACAATATTAAGAAATTATTTATTATTTTAGATCGTATATATGAGAACACAATCACTAAAAATTAAAGGTCTGTAATGGTCGAAGTCGGATCTTTTTAATTAAAATAATTCAATCTTGAATTACTATATATACTATATATGTACTTATCATATTTGTAGTCTTTTTGAACTGCGCGCTGAATTGTTTTTTCGGACTAACGCAATTAAACTACTTTAGTAATCGTGAATTAAATTGACAAACAATTTTAATAATTTGGTGCTCAATCAAGAATATTATAAAGATGTTAATATGTTGAAAAATTGTTAATAAATTTATTGCAAAAAATATTATCTGGGCCGAGAGTCGAACCCGGATCTCTCTGTATTCCGTACGAGCGTCCTAAATCTTTAGATCACCGAGATACTAATCTCTGACAAATTTCAAAAAATCATAAATAATCCGATAACAAAAATATCATTTTATAGCATCAATAAACTTCATAGTGTCATTAAAGTATATAAAGACCCAATTGGCGCACAGAGGAGCGTTGTCTATAAAACCTCCTGCTGTGATTTTGATTGCATCATATGTGAGACAAACAGGACAACAGTGTTAAAATATATGTTAAAAACACATATTGCGGAACGCAGGAATCATATCACAAGAAAAACATCCACATTTCATCACGGACACGAATTAAATTGGAAAGGAGTAGAGATTCTGGATATAGAGAAAAAAACTATAGCAAAAGGTAACGTCAGAAATGAAATCATCATATCAAAAAGCAAAAAATAATGTAAATCTTCAAACAGATACAGATTTTTTGAACCATGCTTGCCCTGCTGCAAATTCCTATGGGAAATTTTCCTGGGTTTGTCTAATCATAGATACCCGTGGTAAATTCGACTGGTCTTCATGGGAGGAGGCTCCTATTTTGCTATAAACTCCCATGGATTTTTTCATAGATTCCTATAGACTATAAGAGTCTATTCCAAAATTTACTGTCAGTAAATTTTGGAACACAGCTCTGGAGCTTGTATAGTGTAAACAATTAATGACAACAGAGAAAAATATCAGGGCATTCCTTGTTTCGAACCTAGGCCTGGTCTCTCCTCGAGTGGTAGACTTCTGTCCTATCATTGAGCCACATAGCTTTGACGCTGATAGCTTTTCTGTTGTGTCTATTTCCTCTAAATTTCTTACAATAAGTACGGGATTTACACAGCATGTATATATAGGATAACATAGGAAATTTTTCTACAAGGTTTTACATAGGAATCTATCATTTAGTTCATGAAAAGAGGTTTCTATAAGATCGCATGGTAAAAAGAATGATGTGCACATTGATGCAATCCTAAATGATATACAGGATGTCCCGTATTTGGGATTATTTTCGTGTGCAGAAATAGATTAAAATTAGCATAAAATAGATTAAACTGAGTCAAAAAGTCCTGTGTCATTTTGTAATTTTCACAATAGTTAGTTTTCTAAAAATTGCTGAATAAGCGGATAAAATCGATGCTATAATAAAAAGATAAAATAAGACAACTTTAAGATATTTTTTCAGAATTCTTTACATGACATATTTTAAAGATGTTTTTCAAAGAACTCTTAAAGATATTTTAAAGTTGTCTAATGCGTCGCGATTTTAGACATTCTGCTCATTGGATAATAATTGCAAAAATCGCAAAATGATAAAGGACCTTCCGGTTCAGTTTAATCTGCTCTATCTACACACAAAAATAGTTCCAAATATTTTGAGATATCCTGTATAGTTTCAAAATAGTCATAAATATTCTGAGACACTGAGTCCCTAATATTACACATTAGAGTGTATACACAAAATGCTATAACAGCCGACTGATATAATTTCACGTAAAAATCTAAGATAATTTTTCCATAACTCCAAAAACTGGTGACTCAAAAAAATCATGAGTATATATTTTCTTTATAGCAGTCAGGATTTTTTTTACCCGATGTACCTCATTTATTAACTATTATCGTGGCTTCCAGTTTTTAGGAGTTACGAATTATTCTCTCAAGTTGAGGTACCTATAGGAATGTGGAAGAGATGCCTCATGGGGACTAAACTAACGTATACCTATGTTATTATACGTCGAACTGATATCCTATAGACCTTTTTATTATAGTTTATTATAGTTCTTATAGGACATCTGTCCATCTTCCTGTGGGTACCTTTATTATTCTATTTGCATTCCTATGAATGTTCTACGTATATCTGCATGTTGCGCAAATCCTATAGGTAACTACAGAATTTTATAATCTTCCATAGGAACCCATAAAAAAACCCATGGGAATTTGCAGTATACCTAGATTTTCAACTCGGTTAGTTTATAATAGTATTATAAACTATATAATATATTGTTTATGATAAATTTTGATCATAGTTTAAATTTTTATTAATATTAACGATGACACATCATTTTTCTCCTCGTCAGGGGACAACATTGTTGTTTTAATATTTGACAAAAAATTTTATACAAACTGACTAATTTTATTTATAATTGTGTGTTACATTGGCACAATTCATTAGTATACATGTGACTATGGTACATGTAATGTGATTTGCGACAAGCTGGTAAATGCTGATCATAATTCTTCAGTTTGAACGTCATAATAATATGCTTGTTTTATAGCCTTTACAATTGTATATCATTTCATTCTAGACAATCAACTGAAATGAACGTGATAACATTCTTGTATACAGACGATTGTTTGCACCATATTGCAAGCATATTTGCAAGATGATATAAGTTTCATTTATTCAGTTCTGTTAATCGTTGAAAATGACTTCAAAATAAGTCGAAACACATACGATTGTTAAAATATCAAAGTGTAATCATTATTTCGCACTAAGTATCGCGATAATTCCTATTTCTTCATATATTTTTCTGTGATGTTAAATATTAAGAAGTTCTATTCAATCTTAATCGATTTTTTTAAACACCCTATTTTTGATTCTAAAATCTAATAGCTGGTGTCAAGAGCTTTTCAAAATATTACAATAAAGTTATTTTTCATAAAGTACTTTTGAGTTATAAGGCTTGAAATTTACAGCACTATTGGCATTAGCATTACACAAGGCATTGGCGAATGATGGCTAAAATCTCTTAAATGTTGTTCAGGATCATATTCTGGATAACATTCATTAAAACCAAGATCATTGAAGATGATTTCTCTCATTTTCATAAAAACGAATTTTCATTGTAAAAATGAAAATAAGAAAAATAATCTCCGTTCGAGAAAAAACTCAATTTAGTCTGCTCTACCAGCACAAGCGTTATCGGATGAATAATGTGTGCGTGTACACACACACACGCGCGCGCGCGCCACGCACGCACGCACGCACGCACGCACGCACACACGCACACACACACACGCGCACACACACACACACACACACACGCACACACACACACATACACACACATACACACACAGTGTGAAATAAGCTGAATTCCAAATGGCAAAATAACTAAATTCACTTGTGAAAAAGATATCTTTAAACGGCACACATGATTCACACACTTTTAGTTCTATTTGCGATTTTAAGTCTCTACTTCTTGACGATACACAAAGATTCCGTGTCGCCGTTATTATCACATATTTCTCCCACCACAAAGATTTTTCAGGAAGAAGTAGCTAGGCGCGAAAATATATGAGGAATAAGAACCGTTAGAAAATGCATGAAAGAACCGTTAGAAAACGACATAAATGCCGTTTAAGAGTTAATGTGTGTATTCAGCAGAACACAACAATTTTGCAACCGTTTTATATTTTCTGCTAGTATCATTCCTTTAAATCTAAAAGTATAATTTAATCAGCACGAAAAAAACTTCCAACTGCTTCCAACAGCAAAATAAACTTTCTGCTGAACATAATCATTGTCGTTGAATAAATTAATTTACACACAATATCTAGGTTGGTTCTTAATAGCATTCAAAATTTATTGTTATATTTTGCTTTTAATTCAAGAATATGGAAAACAGATTTGTGCATCAAATTATAACTATAAACATTTATTTTTTATGTTTCAGGTTTAATGGGTTACTGGACCAAAGAACCAGAATACGTTAAAGATCCAAAATTGTTTGATCCAAATCGTCCATTTAGACCACATAAATATTAAACAAAAATTAATGTAATATATACATTGTGTGTCATATACAAATGCTTGATAAGACAATTATAATTGCATTAGTATCAATAAACTACTTTATACAAATAAAATTAGTTGAATGAAATCTTTATGTTCAATAAAGTGTGTAATTATTCATAGCAAACAAGTTATTTTGCAGTATTAGCATTACTGAAGCAAGAATTAAATATTGAAATAATTTTGTTAGTAATTCTATTGAATATTATATACATGAATCTTTTAATACATATTAAAAATGTTTATTTATACTATTACACAGAGCGACAAAAAAAATCACTTTCGTCAAATTGCGATAGTGCATTTCCCGAGAATTTTTTGTGCTGAACACGATGCCGTTGACGGAATGTGCCTAGCATGTAGGATTTTGAGTAAATTGGAATGAAAGGGGCTAAAAATGGCGTTTTTTGCCATTAGTCGCATTCAGCAGATTCAGAGCCATATAAGATGGATCTAGTATTAGTTATGTATATCTGTTTGGCAAAACGGTGCGAAAGGCAAAATATCGGGGCAACTTCTCTGCGCGCGCATCTTGAGCAAATTCTCAGCAAACTTACTTTGACATCAATCCTTGCAAGTATAATTTGAAGTTTTTAATGTAAATTTGCACAGAATTTTAAAAAACTTTTTGATGCTCTAAAAAATATTTTAGATACTGTCAAAAATAATTCTTACCACCAAAAAGTTTTTTAAAATTGTACAAATTTACATTAAAAACTCCGATTTATACTTGCGAGGATTGATGTCACAAAATACAGAATCTGGAAATTCTGTATTTACCATACAAAGACTTACAAAAAGATACAAGTAATCTATATTGCAAAAAAGTTCCTCTATAACGATGAACCCCTAAGAACAGCATTGTTCCCATTAAATTAAAATAGAATGTGCACAGGTACCGAAAGTCATGCGAAAATGGCCGAATACCACATCGCTACCCTTCGTGAGTTGCTTGTATAGACACGCATGTGAGGATACAGATCAGGGGAGGGGGGGAAACCGCGAACCGAGAATTATAATGAGATCGCGGCGCTGATCGCAAATTTTGTCAAGTATAAAAGACAATTCATTTTATCAGAACGGCTTTTTGATCTCCTGCCTATGATCCAAATTCCGCAAGCCCACTAGCAATCCGCTAGACGAGCACTGATTCAAGAATTCGGCCGACGATGAGTCCTGGGGGTACTTCAATAGGAGCGTACTTCGCCTCCATTGAACATTTTCAACACCGTTCGAAATCAACTCCCACCACTTCCGCTGAGTAGACGAGACAAGGGGGTAGAGTGCTCTGCCTCCATCGGGTGTTCCTGACAATCAAAAAACAAATTCCGAGTCTTATACGTGATGCGATCGGCAAAAACCAACGAGAGTGTTCTCTATTGAGTGTTCTCAGTTGTCGATCGCGAATATTGTTACGAGCGAGACACATGTAAAATGTTAAAAAGATTCGACAACTGTCTTCTGACCGAACTTTAGTCAATGATGATACAGACAAGCTTACATTGAGAAAGTCATTCAGTTAAATCAACCAAGGATTTGTTTGTTCATATTCAAACAAGAAATTAATTAATGATAAAATGATTTATAGTGATTAACAATAAAATGATTTAGTTGAAGTAAAGCATTTGGTTATTGTAACATTTCACTTGTTTCTGACAAACATTGATATCTGATAATGTTGTTTGCAATAACCAAATGTTTGGCTTCAACTAAATTATTTTATTGCATCAACTAAAGATTTGTTTGCCCATATTCAAACAAGAAATTAATTGATTCAACTAAATGGGTTTTCTCAGTGTATAGACTAAATTGGAGATGTGTTATCACAACTTATGAGAACAGACTAACTCGATCAGAACTAGAGGGATTTTTTACTATGATAAAAAAGATGGAGATTTCGATAAATTTTAACCAATAACGTGACATTTTCGAATATCAAAAATATATGTGATGGGGATGAAAGGAACTGAGATATGTGAGTGACTCACAAATCCGTTTAGGGATGAATCATAAAATATCTATCAGACTGAATATTCGAGACGGATCTAAAGGGTAAGTTAAAAAAAGGATTAAAAACGATAGGTAAAAGCAAATAAGAAAAGTGGCAGGAAACAAGATTTATCAGGAATATTTAGGGAAAAATGTGTAGAAAAACCTTATGTTAAAAATGTGACGTTAACAAAAGTGATATGCACGAAACACTTTCCTCCTTAAATTAAAGATTCTTCTATATTTAACAAAATTTATGTTCTTATAATGTAGGAAAACTTAGATAATATGACAATATAGAGATTTAACCTAATCAAATAATACGATCGAATACTCAATGTCTTGGGATTAATACATAGAGATAATTTAAATTGATTAAAATTAGAGACTTAAATTAATAATCTTAATAACACTAATAATATTAATAATACAACTCTTAATGATAATTGTATGGACTTCCATACTATTAGGTGTACAACTTTGCTTCCGCCGTTTTCCTATAGATGGCTTTAGCGGTAAGTGGTGATCGAAATAAATAGATCATAGACGTCATACAATAAACTTGGGCATCTGTCAACATAACCCCATAGAAACATTAGTCGATTTGTGTCTGCATCATAAAGTTATTCTCGATTGAAAATGTCAGTTTACGAGCCAAATTCTCGTCATTTGCGGGAGGTTTTAATTTTTTGCTTCAATATGAAGAAATCTGCGGCTGAGGCTCATCGAATGCTCTCAAATACTTATGGTGAGGCAGCTATTAGTGAAAGAACGTGTCATGAGTGGTTTCAATGCTTCAAGAACGGTGATTTTGACGTCCAAGGTCATGCTCTGTATTTGGTGGGATCAGCTCGGCGTAGTGTATTATAAACTGTTAAAACCAACTGAAACAATCACAAGTCGATCGATATCGAATTGAATTGATGCGTTTGAGCCAAGCATTGAAAGACAAACGGCCGCAATACAACGAGAGACACGATAAAGTGATTTTGCAGCATGACAATGCTCGACCCCATGTTGCGAAAGTGGTCAAGACATACTTGGAAACGTTGAAATGGGAAGTCCTACCCCACCCGCCGTATTCTCCAGACGTTGCTCCCTCTGACTATCACTTGTTTCGATCAATGGCACACGACCTGGCTGACCAGCACTTCCGGTCTTATGAAGAAGTAAAAAATTGGATCGATTCGTGGATAGCCTCAAAAGATGATAAGTTTTTTCGACGCGGGATTCGTACGCTACCCGAAAGATGGGAGAAAGTAGTGGCCAGCGATGGATAATACTTTGAATCATAAATGTATAACCAGTTTTTTACAATAAAGCCTCGAATTTCGGAAAAAAAACGACGGAAGCAAAGTTGTACACCTAATACAATCGTGTGTTGAGTTACCGTACATGTACTCAACAATATTACACTAAATTTGTAAGTCGGCTATTACGTGAACGAGATTGTCATATTTCGCTATTTCTTTCGAGTTGTTAAGTTTGATAATTTTGTGAAAGTTCGATAGTAAGTATCGCGAAAGTACTATTTGTCGCGAGTCATTTAGTGACCGTGAATTAGTTTTAGCATTATTATTAAAACATTTATAAAAATATTGAACGCATCCCTCTTTTGATATTCAACAAAACCTAAGAATATTAACACATTTACTTATTAGTGAACATTTCGCCATTATAATATGTATAAAGTAAACTATATTATGTAAGTCAGAAATAGTATATATTAATAAAACCATCCTATAATTCTATAGAGTTTGAGTATGATGATGTTTAACTCTTCCGCTTCTTTAAATAAATTTCATCTAAAGCTCGCTATTCTTAATATGCATATCTAAATTAGTTTTACCAATATTTAATAAGTGGATATTTATATTACGTTTTTTAAGGTCTTCGCATAACTAACTAGTATTAAGTTTAACATCAGGAATATAATCTTTTTCGACGGTATTTGTAGCGCTCGTAGTTTGCATTGTCAGAAATAGTATCACAATCCGCAGAAAACCTAATAAGTCCAGAATACAATTGTGTTAGTCGCGGCTTATTGTCATTACATAAAGTATGAAAAGTCTCGTTTCGAAGAGCTGTGTATAACCAAAAAATTATGATTTTCAATTGAATATTTGGTATCAAAGTTATGAATTCTCATAACTCGAACATCGCATTCTTTTAATATATTCTCTAATTTTGCTGATTTTATAATAACAATTTTGATTGGCAATTCTAAACCGCTGAAACTTAATATAGCAAGTCTGTTTGTTTACAGATCATTACATTATTAATTTTCTTGCATTTAGCATCGTATTCTGTTAAGTGAGTATACAGTTTATCAGATCTAAGATCTAAATAAGTATAAATAGAGTTTATGAATGTATAAATGCCCCTCTCGCTCTGCATCTATTGATAACGGAATTACAGAATATAATATAAAGTTGTTTTGTTCGATTAAAGATATTTTAACAACATAAATCAAACGATGATTCTTATAAAATATGTTTATATCGTTAACATCGATTAAATTAATAAATTGATCAAGTTTCAAAGGCACAAGCAATTGTTTATTATTTATTATATAACGAGTTTCTTTTAAATGAACAATTCTTTAGGTGTAAATGTTTTGGGATAGATTAACCTTCGGCGTGCCAATAAAATAGTGTCTGTCAAAGTTTCTAATTCTATTGCATATTCAAGTATCATTTCTCAGTATTCTATTAGATAAAAATTGACCAAGCTATTTAATTAAATTTCAGTTAATTTTTGTCTATCTTCCAACATAAGGCTGTGAAGTTATATTAGTGAAGTCTTATATTAAAATCTATTTTCTTAACTTATCATTATTTGCTTCAAATGAATTCGAAAAATTACCTATTGTTGCCTGAATAATACTTATTTGTTTTTTATATAAAGGACCCCGCACCAACTTTATGGATTTTAGCTTTCGGTGAAATTGTCTGAAAATTTAGTATGTTGTATCCTTATTGTCCTGAATAAATGTTTCAATGGGCACAAAATCCAAAAATGCCTAGAGATCGAGTTATGGAATGCTATGAAGCTAATGCTGCACTGGCTCAACGATTACT